GGGAGCTTAGGGAGCCTGCTCTCCTGGGGATTAGCAGGGATCACGTTTGTTTACACTTCCAGCCCTGGGATGGCACTGCTGGGGCTCTGGGATTGCTCTGGGATGGCACTGCTGGGGCTCTGGCACTGCTCAGGGTGTGGGATTGCTCTGGGATGGCACTGCTGGGGCTCTGGGATTGCTCTGGGATGGCACTGCTGGGGCTCTGGCACTGCTCAGGGTGTGGGATTGCTCTGGGATGGCACTGCTGGGGCTCTGGGATTGCTCAGGCTGTGGGATGGCACTGCTCAGGGTGTGGGATTGCTCTGGGATGGCATTGCTGGGGCTCTGGGATTGCTCTGGGATGGCACTGCTGGGCTCTGGCACTGCTCAGGGTGTGGGGTTGCTCTGGGATGGCACTGCTGGGGCTTTTCACATCCCTGTGGATTCAGCAAAGGCTGAGCTGACTTTGATTCTTCCCCCAGAGGGTGCTGGGGCACTGCCCAGGTTCCCCAGGGAATGGGCACATTCCCAAGGCTGCCACAGCTCCAGGAGTGTTTGGACAGTGCTCTCAGGGTGGGGTTTTGGGGTTTGGGCAGTGCCAGGAGCTGGACTGGATGATCACTGTGGGTCCTTTCCAGCCTGGGATATTCTGTGCTTCCATGGTCCCAGAAAAGGGCAGTGCAAGGCAGGGGGATGTGAGGGATAGGGGCACACTCTGCCCTTTTGGATGGTGCCATCTGAGATTTGCTGAGAGTCTTGGCTTCTGCCAGCTGCCAAAGGACGTGTTGGACCTGCTTCCCCCATGTGAGATGCCAGAGGGACTCTGCTCCTGGGAAACCAGGAATGCCTGGCCAGCAGGGCTGGAGGCAGGGAGCAGCAGCAGGGTTCCTGTTGTGAGGGCAGACTTTGGTCACCAGAGCTTCCTCAGTGTCTGGGGTGGACTCTGCTCCCTGGAGCAAGACGTGTCCCCTGACACCTCATCCCTGGGGATAAATGGCTTTTCTTGGCTTAAAAAGATGAAAAGCCCTGCCTGTGGCAGCCCTGTGAGCTGGCCAGACTGCAGCCTGGAGCCCTGGGGTTTGTAACCGGGTTCATCCTGCACCTTCCCCGTGTCTATTTGAGTTTTTGCCACCTGTGAAGGCAGAGCAGGTCCCTCCAGCTCTGCTTTCCTCCCAGCTCAGGCCAGCAGCTCATTCCTGCTCACAGGCTGCTGCAGCAGAGGAGTGCCCAGTGCAGGGCTCCAGCGCAGAATTCCTGTGCAGAATTCCAGTTCCACCCCACGCTGGTCTCTTGCAGATTGGGGATATCCAGATGAGGCCCACAGAGCAGATCTCCTAGCAGGGGAGGAGGAGGATGAGGAGGACCACGAGCAGCACCGTGCCCACTCCACCTGGAGCCCTCTGGCAGCCCAGGGTTCCCTCGGCTGGCTGGCAACGTTTTAATCAAGGATCATGTCTGAAGAATTATTTTTCTCTCCCTCTCTCTGAGCTGGTGCTGGTGCTGAGCCAGTTTAAAAAAAAAAACAACAAAAAAAGAAGAACCACAAACTCGTAGTGGGTCTCTTCTCCCCCACTCCTTTCTGAAACTGCTTAAGAGTAAAAATGTGTTTGAAAATAATGCAGGGAAGTGGTTTGTGGAAGATTGTTTGTTTCCAGGCTGGTTTAGTCTTGATTTTGCTTTCTTTTCAAGGTTTGTTTGATCTTAGTTGCTGATGCTGTGTGTGGACCTAGGTGAAGTGGCACGAGAAGTTTGCCAGCTTCAGTGTGCTTAGGGTTTGAGGTTTTTAGTGGATGTCATACATGAATCCATCTAATAGTCTGAGTTTACTTTCATCAGGTTGATTACTGATGGTGGTGATGCATGTGAAATTTTCCATTTCTTTTGTACTCCACTGCCCTAACCCCAGTGTACAACCTCCCTCAGCCCTCTTTTCCCCTTCACATGAGGAAGTATAAATGCGTGTGCTTGATATTTCTCTTTTTTTCTAGGTAGGTAAATAGTTGGAGGAAAAGCACCTGTCCCTGTGCAGGTTAGGATGATAATCTAAGTGGCATAGTTACAGTAAGAGTGAGTTGTTTGGTATTTTGAATAAAAACTAAACGCGTGCTGTCTTGTGATCACCTCTATCCTTGGGATCATCTCCCAGCACTCTCGATGTTCTGTATGTGATATTTGCATGCATTGACACTTTTCTGGAAATGTGGATTGCTCTGGTGCTGTTGAAATGCTGGTGCTGAGGAGCTGGAAACGGTGGAAGTTTATTTTTATGTAGAGACACAAACTCTGAGAGAGAGAGAGAGAGAGAGAGAGAGAGAGAGTGGGACGAGCCGTGCCGAAGGGGTCCGGAGTGAGGAGAGATTTGCAGGGGCATTTTGGCTACAAAAAGCAGCAGGTGAAGGCTCTGGCTGAGATCTCGTGTTGGTGCAGCCCCAGTGTTGGCTCTGGGTTTACTCTGAGTTGAGGGAGAAGAGAATTGGCCCCAAAGCAGAGCTGGAGTTGTCTGGAGAACTCTCTGCAGGGAGGTCTGTGTGTGTCCAGCATTGGACACATTGCCTTAAGATTGCAGACCCTGGCCAGCTCCTGCTGAGCTCCAGGCAGCGTTTCAGAAGGTCAGGGATGGTCAGTTGGTCGGAGCAGAGGATGGACAGCCTGGAAAATCGGGGTTGGATTGTTTGGCTTACACCAGGAGAGCCCTGGGAGTTCATCTGTGTTACCCCTGCGCAAGGGAGGGCAGAGCTGGGCCACCAAGACACGAACTCAGCTCCCTGTACAGCCTTGGGCACGTCACTTTACCTCTCTGCCTCAGTTTCCCTGTCTGGAAAATGGGGATAATAACACCCACCTACCTCACAGGGGTGTTGTGAGGACTCACAAGTTTTTGTAAAGCACTTTGACAGGCGCTGTGTAAGTGCTGAGTGTTGATGTTGAAGTATTATTATGAATTAAACTTTGTGATAACCTAGAATTCCTTGTGCCAAAGGTGAGCAGCTGTAGGAGGATACAAGGAGAAAGCTGGCAAAATGTTCCTTTGATGATGGCAAAAACAAAAGGCAGTTTGCCCCTTTTTTTCCTCTTTATTAACACATGATGTGTTCTGTCCATTCCTCACTTGTCACCAGTTTCTACTGACAAGTGCACCTGCATTTGGCTTTTTAATTTATTGTGGATTAAACCCCTGCCCCTTGGGAAGTCTTGCACTGCCCTGCTCCAGGATGCCGAGTGTGGATTTGTGTGAATTCCCAGCAGGTGTCCTGGGCAGTGTGTGCCACCTTTAGGAGAAGGTGGTTGAACTACTAAAGAGGCAAAAACAAAAAAGAAAAAATTGAGAAATTAGGAACTTTTGAGCAGAAAAAAAACTGAGCAGGGATGTGGGCAGCAGTGGTGAAACACAGAATTGTGGCAGCAATTGTGTGCAGAGTTCAGCAGATGTTGAAATGTGTGGCTGAGGAGAGCCTTTACATCTCCCTGTGCTGTAGAAGGAGGATTTGGAGAGAATTGTTTCAGGTGCAGATCCCTGACAAAGGGTTTGTCCAGGTAGTTGTCCCTGCAAATACAGCCTGGCAGCCCTGCAGCCCTGGAAGTTGTTGGTTTTTTCCCCCCAAGAACATTTGTAAGTCTCTGAAGTCACCTGGAGGTGACGTGCAGTATGTTTTTCCATTTGAAGTGTGGTTTTAGGGGATCATCCCTGCTGCCTGTTAACCTCCCACGAAGGAGGGCTCCTCGGGTGGCCTTGGTGGCACCTCCTGCCACCTTCCTGGGATGAGATGGGACACCACTCCGAGGCCCTGAAACCCCTAAAACGTGAGGATCAGTGAACTGTGTAATTTATCAGTAGGTTCTAATTGTGACCTGTAAAATAAAGAATAAAAAGAGAGGCACACTGTGGCTGGTCTGTGGTGTGTTTTGTTATTTTTATGTTAAAACTGAACAGCTTTTTTGCTGTTCACAGCCAGAGTTTTGCTTGGGGAAGGATCCAAACAGAATCCTTCTGTTGGGGGGGGTCTTTATGAGGAAAAACAGATTTTCTTTCCAGAGCTGGACAGCATCCAGTTGTCTTGGGAGTAACCTGTGGATCTCTGGGGACAGCTCTGGGATGCTCTGTTGGGGACAGCTCTGGGATGCTCTGGTGGGGACAGCTCTGGGATGCTCTGTTGGGGACAGCTCTGGGATGCTCTGTTTGGGGACAGCTCTGGGATGTTCTGGGGACAGCTCTGGGATGTTCTGGGGACAGCTCTGGGATGCTCTGTCTGGGGACAGCTCTGGGATGCTCTGTTGGGGACAGCTCTGGGATGCTCTGTTCCTGTAGTGTTCCCAGTCCCAGGGTCTGTCCAAGGCCTTGGCTTCCCCATTCCTGGTGCCCGGGGTCTGTCCGGGGGCTCAGGGGTTCCCCATTTCCCGTTCCTGGGGTCTGTACCGGGCTGTTCCCAGTACCTGGGGTCACTGGGGTTCCTCGTTCCCATTCCCAGGGTCTGTCCCTGGAATGCTCCGTTCCTGTTCCCGTGGTCTGTCGGGGGTCACTCAGGTTCCCCATTTCCCATTCCTGGGGTCTGTCCGGGGCTCTGGGCTGCTCTGTTCCCGTTCCCTGTCCGGGGCTCCGGGATGCTCCGTTCCCGTTCCCGGGCTGTTCCCGTTCCCGTTCCCTGTCCGGGGCTCCGGGATGCTTCTTTCCCTTTCACTGTCCGGGGCTCTGGGATGCTCCATTCCCGTTCCCGTTCCCTGTCCGGGGCTCTGGGCTGCTCCGTTCCTGTTCCCGTTCCCTGTCCGGGGCTCTGGGATGCTCCGTTCCCGTTTCCGGGCTGTTCCCGTTCCCTGTCCGGGGCTCTGGGCTGCTCCGTTCCCGTTCCCGGTATCCCCGCCCGCCGCCAGGGGGCGCTGCCGGGCGGGGCGGGGCCGCCGCCACCGGAGCGGGGCCGGGCCCTGTCCGAGCCCCGCCGGGCCCTGTCCGTGTCCCGCCCGAGCCCCGCCGAGCCTCGGCTGCGGAGCGGGGCTGGCTGTCCCCCCCGCCTGCCCGGCCCCGCGCACCGGGCCTCCCCGCCATGCCGCGGGCGCTGCTGCCCCGCCTGTGCCAGCGGGCGCCGCGGCTGTGCCGGGCCGGGCTCCGGTTCCGCTGCAGCCGCGGGGCCGAGCCGGGAGCGCCCCGGGGCCGCAGTGCCCCCGCGCCCCTCCCGCGGGGCTCGCGGAGCGGGCGGGAGCTGTGGCGGGCACAGCAGGACTCACCCGGCACGGGGAAGGGAACGGAGCGAAAGGCGGCGGTGCTGGAGAGAACCAAAGGCTCGGAGATCCTGTTCGGGCTGGCCCCGTGCGGGCTGGCGCTGGCCCGGGCGCGGCGGGCGCTGTTCCGCCTCTTCCTGAAGGAGCAGCGCGGCGGCCCCGGGCGGCCCCTGAGGGCCGAGCTCGGCCTGCAGGCGGCGGCCCGCGGCGTGCCGGTGCTGCGCGTCCCGGGCCGGGCGCTGGACGCGCTGTGCCGGGGCCGGCCCCACCAGGGAGTGTGTCTGGAGGCCGCCCCGCTGCCCCTCAGGAGCCTGCGGGACGCGGAGGAGCCGCAGCTGGGCCACGGAGAGAGAGGGAACCGGCAGCTGCTGTGGCTGGTGCTGGAGCACATCCAGGATCCCATGAACCTGGGGGCTCTGCTGCGCTCCGCCTACTTCCTGGGGGTGGACAGAGTGGTGGCGACCCGCGGCAACAGGTACAGGACACAGCAACAGGTATGGGCCAGAGTAAAAGGTACAGGACACAGCAAAAGGTGCGGGACACAGCAAAAGTTATGGGCCATAGCAAAAGGTACGGGACACAGCAAAAGGTACGGGACACAGCAACAGGTATGGGCCAGAACAAAATGTACAGGCTACAGCAAAAGGTATGGGCCAGAGCAAAAGGTACGGGACACAGCAACAGGTATGGGCCAGAGCAAAAGGTATGGGCCAGAAAAAAATGTACAGGCTACAGCAAAAGGTATGGGCCAGAGCAAAAGGTACAGGACACAGCAAAAAGTATGGGCCAGAACAAAATGTACAGGCTACAGCAAAAGGTAAGGGCCACAGCAAAAGGTAAGGGCCAGAACAAAAGGTACGGGCCAGAGCAAAATGTACAGGCTACAGCAAAAGGTAAGGGCTACAGCAAAAGGTACAGGACACAGCAAAAGTTATGGGCCACAGCAAAAGGTATGAGCCGCAGCAACAGGTGCGGGCCATAGCAACAGGTAAAGGCCACAGCAAAAGGTACAAGCCACAGCAAAAGGTACAGGACACAGCAACAGGTACAGGTTTCTCCAGCCCCCCTTTTCCTCCCAGTCAGGTTTCTAGCCTGCATCACTCCTCTGTTGTTTAAAGAGATTTCTGGGGCTGATCTGTTCAGAGCAGGATTTGGGATGTGGAGTTCCAGGCTCTTCCTGGACTCTCCGTGTTTAACCCGTTCTGTGTTTGTGTTGTCACAGCTGTGGCCCGTCCCTGAGCCCTCCTGTTCTCCATAGGAGAGCACATCTGTCTAGTGAGTGGGATCTAAAAGGTCACCTGCATTTCCTCCTGTGTGACACTTTTCCATTCTTTTCCCGTTGCAGCTGCCCCTTGACTCCCGTAGTGAGCAAAGCCAGTGCTGGAGCCATGGAGGTGTTCGATGTGTATGGCACGGATGATCTGCAGGGCTTCCTGAAGGTACAGCGAGCCACTTTAATATTTATTCCTTTGCTTCAAGAAAACTCAAACAGGTATGCCACAGAGGGGAGGCACAGGGGGAGCCCTGAGTTATTTGCAGTGTTTGTGCTGGGACACCCCAGCCCCATTCCATCGGGCAGGGGGAGAGGGTGGCTGTTTTTTCTGGAATACCGGGATAATCCTGCGACTCTGGGGATGCCAGGGTTTGTCTCCCTTCTCCTCGGGATGTGTGGCAGAGCAGCATCCCGGGGCCCAGGCACACGATGGCAGCATTGGGCAGCCTTTGGAGCAGGGAATAGAGGAGGAACCAGGGCTGGGGGGAGCTGCTGGGAATCTTTTTACATTTTCCCTGTGCAGTGAGGTGTGAAAGGGAGCCCTTTGCAGGCAAAAATTTAAGGCATGCCAAAAAAACCCTAGATAGCTTAACTGATAGTGTAAAAAAAAGAGTGCTTGCATACATGGTTTCTTTTTAAGCTTGAGTATTTGGCAATTCTTGATTTCTTTCCATTTTCTAGGCTAAAAGTGCAGAAGGCTGGGAAGTGGTGGGAACAGTCAGCAGGCCTGAAGATGTGGAGGATGTTCCTGTCATCAGCTGCTCGGAATTCCAGTGGGACAAGCCCGTTATTGTAGTGATAGGTATTTCCACTTCCAGAGCTGAGGGCTGGGTGGGGGATGCTTCACTCCAGGGGTTATTGCAGGTCTGGAAAACAAAATCTGAGAGGGAATCATGGAATGATCTGGCTGTGAATGAAGCAGGGACTGAGAGGAATGGGGGAAGCTGAGGGGGCTCCCAGCAGGAGCAGTTTGTGATGCACTCACAGCTGTGGAGGGTCTGGGTGGCAGTTTTGGTGCCAGGGCGGTCACAGAGTGGTGTTTGCATTGTTCTCTGTGTTTTGATCTGTGCTGGGGCCCCAGATTTGGATTTTCTGTGGTGGTGAGCCCCAGGCTGAGGCAGAGCCCTGGAGGTGTTTGCTGTTCCTGCACAGAGCTGCTCGGGGGTAGCTGTGCCACATTTCCCCTGAAAAACCAGGAGTGTCTGGTCTGGGGAGAGCCGTGAGGGGCTGTTGCTGGGGATGGTCTGGATGCAAAGCTGGGATTTGCAGCCACCCCTGAGAGCAGTCAGGGCACACCTGGGAGAGGGCAGGAGGTGCTGGCTGTGCAGCAGGAGCAGAGGAATCTCCTCCCTGTTGGAGCAGTGGCTGCCACTTCCCTGAGCACCTGAACTGGGCAATTCCTGCAGGGAATTCTGCCCACTCTCTCACCTTGTGTAGGCACAGTTTGGACTTGTGCAGCCTCCCAGAAGGTGAAGGAAAGGGGAATAACAGCTTTGAGGCAGCTGGAGAAGGAAATTCCCCCAGGAATGCAGCTCCAGGCACCTGTGTGTGGCCGTGCCACATCCCCCACTCCATGTCACCTGGCAGAGGAGCTGGCTGGAGCTTTTACACTTGGAAGTACAGTCCTGCTGGCCACGAGCCAGGGAGGGGCTGTAATCCTGCCCCGTGCTGGGGCTGCCTTGGCTCGGAGGATATTCCTTTAATTAAAATGTTTATTGAACTCCTGGAAACACTGACAAGACAACGCTGCAAATCTGGCATCTCTACAAGATGTGTGGAGCTGTATTCCAGGGGGAGCAGGGAGGCTGGCAGCTCTGCTGATTGCCCACAAAGAAATGCATCCCACAAACGGCGACAGCACCCGGAGAGAGGCAGGGGCTGGAAGCGGCAGCAGTGTCGTTACCTTGAGTTATGAGAGATTTCTCCAGGAAAAAGTCCAAATATCCTTTTGTCAGGGGAGATTGGAGGCTGATTGGTAGATGCATGAGGAGAGCTCCCGGACCTTGCAGCAGTAATGATTTCAACTCTCTGCTGAGCACTAACTCTTGGCTGAAAAGAAAATTGAACATTACGGTCGTCTGATGCTGGGCTTGTTGGGAGAAACGTCCTGGATGTGAATATGGAGCATTCCTGCAGCTGCAGGGAGCAGCAGAGATAATTCAGCCTGGGATTGAGCTCCCTGGCACCACACAGATTGTCTTGCAAGTTAAGCATTTGCAGGCTCCACTTCCCCCTCCTGGCATCCTCGCTGGCTTGGCAGAGAGTGATTTGGACAGTCCAGCTTAATGTTGTCTGCACTGGAGTCATTGCTGGAGGCGACAGACAGCTCAGACTGGGAGCCTGGTGCACACAGGAACAGATTGGGAGCACTTAGATGGCTGAGTAAGAAGAGTTTCTGGGTAATTTGTTCTTCTTAGACCTCCAGTTTTCAGCTCGGGGTTTAAGGCTCTTCACAGAGCTGGTTTTATGGAGATGCTCATTTTGCATATTTTTGTGCTGCTGGATCTGAATTTCCTGCACTGGAAACTGCAATTGTGAGTGGTGTTAATTGTAAATGGGGCAGGAAATGTGTTTTGTCATTTCTCCAAGCTCTGGTCTTTGAGCTCTGTCAGTGAGGGACGAAGCTGAGAGGTGGAAGTTAAAGATCTGAAGTGGGATGTGTTTTGTTCACCAGTCTAAACGAGGATTTAATCTGATTCAGTCAATACTCCCTCCCTTGTGTCACACTGTGCAAGTCTTTTCGCCCTGAATTTATCGCTCCTAATTATTTTAAGCAGCCAGGGCCATAAAAAGCTTTGTAAAAGCTGGAGGCAAAATCGGTGCCTTTATTGGGAATTGTACAACCCTTAGCAGGGGCAGGAGAGGATTCCTGCAGGAGCCATTGCTGCTGTCCCGGTTGGAGAGTCCTGTGGGAGTGTGGTTTGAGAGGCTCAGGAGGCAAACACCACTGTAAGGTGTACAGCTTTTCCAGGATACGATTCCTGGGTTTTTAGGCATCCCTGGATAGTGGTGAGGAGACAGGCAGGGCCACGGGAGGCCTGGCTTTGATTCCTGGTGTCTCCCTGTGACCCTGGATAACTCCCCCAGGCCAGTGTGCACTGCTGGCTTACAGCAGCAGGGAAAGGTTGGTCAGGATGGGGTCAGGGGCTTCTGAAGGCTCACTGAGCCCAGCCAAAGGCCTTCTGCCATGACTGATTTCATCTGGGAAGGTGATGCAGGATGCGTTACCCAAAGCATCCTCTTCCTCACCCAGAAAAAACCATCTGGGAATGGTGGCACTTCCCATTCCTGTGTGGTCAGAGGGATCAGGGTGCCCTGGCAGTGCCATCCCACGCTGGTGTGGGGCTCAGCCAGGTCAGGGCATGGCTGTGGAGGGGTGCCAGGGGGTGTTTGGGATGAGCTGCCCATCCTTGCAGCCCTGGAGCCGCCTGTGCTGCCCTCAGTAACAATGTGGAAGAATTCTTTGGGGAGCCAGGCGGGCTGGGAGGTCCGTGGCCCTCTGCATTTTCACCTGTCTGCACACAGCATTGTTTAAAGCCTCTCCCTTTCCATTTCCCTTTGTGACAGTGTGAGTCAAACAAGTACTAATGACCTGGGATAGATTTCAACTCTGTTTCACCAGTGTATCAGCCCAAACATATCAGGGCTGCTGCCTGGTTTAACAACTAATCAATTGAAGCCTCTGGTTAAACTGTCTGCATGCACAAGTTGCACGGCTGTGTGTGTGTGTGTGTGTGTGTGGGCAGGCTGGAGCTGTCACTGCCTGTAGGGATGTGGGATTTGCTGGAGCAGAGCTGGCCTGTGGCCCCTTGTCCCTGTGCCAGCAGCCCGTGCCCACGGGGAGCTGCTCCCCGTGGGATCTCTGTGCAGCATGGAGATTCTCAGAAGCACTTCAGATGCTGGGGAACAGATCCAGGGAGGGAGGGAGGGAAGGGAGGAAGGTGCCTGGCTCCCCTCTGGTGGCTCAGTTCTGTGTGGGAGCTTTGGGAGAAGGTCAGAGACACGAAGCACGAGCAAGAGGAGGGGAAAGGACGTGGCAGTGCTGGGAGCTGAGCTGAGCAGTGTCTGTCTGCAGGCAGTGAAGGGGAGGGACTGTCCCTGGAGACTCAGCAGCAGTGCCAGAGGATGCTGGCCATCCCCCCGGGCAGGGCGCTGCACCCCGGCCTCGACTCCCTCAACGTCTCTGTGGCTGCAGGTGAGAGCATCCTGAGCACCAAACCTTCTGCATTTAACCAACATCCAGGCCCACTGGGCTATTGGCTTGTGGTTTGAAAAAAATTAAAATCCTTAATATTTATTTATTTTTGCTTTCCTGCAGGTATCCTCCTGCACTCCATCTGCAGCCAGAAACGGAGGCAAGGAGATTGAAATCCTCTGTATTAGGTGGAGGAAGCTGCTCAGTGTGGATATGGAAATGCTCTTCCCAGGGTCTCCACCGTCACTGTGAGCTCCAGGGAAGCCCCAGTGACCTGAGCTGCATTTTGGCTGCTGCAGAAGCCACCAGATCCCTACTTAACACCACAGGCAGACGCCTGATGTCGTAGGTAACACCTGGGAGGAGCAGCTTGGGAAGGCAGACAGGTCTGGGAGCAGCCAGTTTGGGCAGGAAAACACCCAGGGATGGCTGCCAGCACTGGGGACTTTGTGCATCACTTGAACCGTGGGGACAATTTGGGCTGTGGGTGAAAGTGCCACTGCAAGTGCCCTGGGCAGCAGCTGCTGAGTGCCAGCTGTGTTTGGGAACCACTGGAGCTGGGTTTGCTGTATTGGATTGTAAACCAGGTGTGCAGCCCTGCTAAGGGCTGGCAGACAGCTGGAATGGGGGGAAAATGCAGCCTGTGGAAATAAAGCTTTTGTAAAGATTGGTTGTAGACTCATATTAATACATTTCGTGTCATATAAATCCAGAGTGTAATTAGTCCTTCAGGTGGGAAGAGGGATCCAGAGCTCCTTTCCTTCTGGGGAGGTTTCCTTTCCAAGCTGGGCTGATCCTGCTGGAGGCTGAGGTGCCCCAGGACCTGGGGTGGCTTCATTTGCAGCTATCCTGCTTGAAAAACCAGGCTGGCTAAATTATTGAGAGCCAAAAGAATGTTATCACTTAGCACCTTAATTATTTTATTTAGCTACCGTGGCCCTTTGCATAGGGTTCCTCATTAACACTTAATTTACAGTGCCCTTTAGGGATAATTTCAAACAATTCTGTTCAGTCTGCCCCCTCCCCACTTCCAAATGAAGAAGTAAATCACTCTGGGTGACTAATTAGGACTTTCCTTTGAGCTAAATGAAGTCTGTACACCTTGGTCTTTGGGTGTGGGGTGTTCCCTGTGTGTCCCTGGGAGGGTCTGGTGGCACTGGGGACACTCCAGGTGCCTGTGATGGGCATGGAGCTCTGAAAGGTGTCCAGGGCTCCCTTCTGTGGCTGTGATGGAGAGGAGGGTCCCTGAGCTGTGTCCTGAGGAAAGGGACAAATCCCAAATCCCTCTGAAACGACACCATCAGACAAACAGGGCTGTGTTACCCAAATCCACAGGGAGCTGAAGAACCCTGAGCTGGTGCCTTGTGGGCTGAGAGCCTGGTGCATTTTGGGGGCTGAATTTGCCCTTTTTTCTGGTTGAAAGCTGAGAGGAAAAGGCTGCAGGCCTCTGGCAGCCCTGTGGAGCTGCTCAGGCTGCCCCAGCAGAGGGTGCCCGTGGCTCAGATTTGCTCATTTTCCAGAGGAAAGATTCCAGGATTCAGCTCCTGGCTGGCTGAATCCTTCCTCTGGAGCAGCAGGGATCAGGGTAACGCCATTTCTTCATTCTTCACCTACAGGTAAGTATATTTATTTCCCATCTCATAGGAGCTGCTGTTTCTCCCTTTTGGTTTGTATTTTTTTTTGAGTTTGTCTCAGCACTGGGGAGGCACTTCTGGCTTTGTGTGGCTGGGGAAGCTGGGCTCTGTCAGGCTGTGCTTGGCCATCTGCTCAGCCCCTCTAACGAGGAGGCAGCTGAGGAACCCTGCAGCAGCTCCTTTACTTCTGGAAGGCTCCCAAAAACCTTTGGAACCTCTGTGCCCACTGGAGTGGGAGGAGAAGCTCCTGCTTGGCCATCAGTCCTTCAGCTTCACCACTCTGCTGTGAATTCCCCAGTCCTGTATCCATGAAGCACCTTGATTTGGCACTGGAGCATCAGACAAGGCTTTTTGGGCTTGAATTTCAGGATCTGAGTGCATTTGAGCTTGAATTTCAGGATTTGAGGGTATTTGAGCTTGATTTCAGGATCTGAGTGCACAACTCAGGCTGCAGCTTGGACTGTGCTGCTTGTGAGGGCACTGAATCCCACTCTGGATGGCTCTGCTGTTCCCACTGACCCCATTTCCCTCTGTGGTAAGTTTTAGCCCTGTTTTTTTCCACTGGGATCCACCTGCAGTGACTTTTGGATGGAGCTGATGCTTTGTCCTCCTGCCCCAGCCCCATCCTGAGACTCTGAGGAGCATGGGGACCTCTGCACTCTCCTGCCTTTGGTGCTGGAGCTTTGTGCTGTGCCATTTGCCCCTGATCTAATAAATGCAATCCATTAATTGGATCATTGCCTGCTTCTCCAGTTAATTTCCTGGATATTTTTAAATGTTAAAATGTAGTTTTTATAGTCTTTCATTATTTTTAGCCTTAAGCTTGACTATAATCATCCCTGTAATGTAACTGTAAAAAACTCCCAGCATTATATCATAAAGGGGGACATTAATTGTCATTTTTTTGTGTACATCAGCAAGATCAAAACACGTTTCCTGATTACTTCTGTTTGTACATAGAGTTTCTTTGATATTTAGATACGAATAAAGTACAGTGTGTGTGTAATTTGAAAGTCGATTCTTCCCTCCCTGCTGCTTGTCATGGATTCCTTTCAGAGGCTTATTTACCAAATTGATTTTAAAATTTACTAATTGCCCTTCCAGAATGATTTCTCAATAATCAAAGTGTCTCTAAGCACAGTGGCAAAATATTTGTCCTCCTTGATTCACAAGATGAGTTTGGCGCCGGCACTGCTTTATCTTCAGCCAGGGGAAAACACAAATCTTCCCACCTCCCAAAATCCACCCTGGGGAGCTCTGCCTGGGAGAGCAGCTCAGCTCCTGTCCCCAATTTCCCTTTTTGGGAATTGCCCTTTTGTGCTCAGGGTATCACCACACTGGAAAAAACCCATTCCACCCCGTGCAACTGATAGTAAAAGGGTTTAAAATCATGGGGATTTAGGGTTAAAAGGAAAATTAAGCTTAGTAGGCCCTGAAAAGAAAATAAATACCCTAAGTACAGAAGACTTTGTACCTTGCTAGAACTGCACCTGTGTAGCTAGTACATGATAAATGATATAATTGTTAGATGTGATGATTGTTTAGTAATTAAATATAATTACTGTTTAATCATAAGAATAATCATGAGAAACTGTGGTGAGGGGCCTAAAAAGATCACGAGAAACTCATGTCAATGTATACAATAGAACAATATAAGTTTAATAATATGTAAGTTATCTAAGGATAGAATATAAAATAGGTTCAGCTCAAAAGCTGTGTGGGAGTCAGATTTGGGGTTGTACCCCTGATTCCCAGAGCTCTCAATAAAAGCACCTGCAGATAATCATATCTGTGATTATGTGTGTTCTGAACGCTGACACAACTACTGCAAAAATCCTGTTCCACCCAATTCACTGGGTGAGTATCCAGTGAATATCCAGCTCCAAAATATCTCTGCTGGGTGCCAGCATGTTTGGGAGGCTGGGATGGCTCTGGGACAGGGGCCACCTTTCCCTCTGCTCAGTCTAATCAACCTTGAGGTCTTGTTGCTTCCACAGGTGCAATTAACATCACCATCTGCTAATCCGTGATTAACGATGTTTACAAATATGCTACAACATGGGAAAATGGGCTGGTGCTCTTTGGGGTTTTTTTTTTTTTTTCTCCCTTTATTTTTATCCCTCCCTGCTCCAGCACAGGAGCTGTGCACGGGAGGGATTGCCCCATGGAATGCTCCCCCCACCCCACATTAATTCACAGACATTTTACATTTTCCTTGTTTAAAAGTGCTGCTAAAACTCCAAACCAGCTGCAGGAATGAGGAGTTCCAATCAGAAGGTCAGTGCTGCTAAATGGGATTTAATTGCACGGGGGTTGAGGTACAAACTGATGAATCTGAATAATAAAACTTTGTGGGGAGCAACATATGGTGCAGTTTAAAGTAAATTTTTATCGATCATCCCACAAGTGATGTGTTAATGGGATGGCAGCCTTTGCTTTGGGTTTGATATCGACGTGGAGTTTTAATAATGTCACACAGGAATATTGTGGAGGGGTTTATAGTTTAAAATAATAAAAAAAAAGAGTGTTTTCTATTAACTGCCTTCTTTTCTAGGAGAGAGGAACACATTCCGAGGCTGCCGTGTGTCCTCCAGATCTAGGTTACATGTAATTGCTCAGTAATTGGTAGAACCATGTAAAAGCCATGGTATTTGCCAGTAAACCCTCCTAAGTTACCATGAAATTGAAGTGTGATATTTATTCTCTACAAAACCCAGATGCTGTGTGGGATCTGGTGGTCAGTGAGAGGAGTTCCTGCAGGAAGGAGGATCCTTTAACCCCCTTGGGCCTCAGGATTATCCACAGGATCCTGGGATGGTTTGGGTTGGGAAGGGACCTCAGAGATCATCATCTCATTCCACCCTGTGCCAAGGGCACCTCCCGCTGCCTTGGGCACTGCCAGGGATCCAGGGGCAGCCACAGCTGCTCTGGGCACCCTGTGCCAGCCTCACCACCCTCACAGGGGAGGATTTCTTCCCAATATCCCATCTAAATTACTATTAATAATCTAATATTAATAACCTAATGTATACACATTAGAAATAATAATAATCTATTAACCCTCTAATTATTGCAGCTGTTTGAAGGCCCAACTCAACACGATGGAAGCTTGAAGTTCTCATGTTTTCAGTGGGCAGGGAACAGTAATTACACTAATGATGTTTTTTGGAGCCTTTGGAGATTAAATATTTCTCAGGACACCGGGGGTACCTCCGTGGGTCACCTGTATTTTACCTTCTTGTTAAGCTTTGGACATCCAAAAGTGTTCTGAGCTGGGCAATTTCCATGATTTATCCACGACTGTGATCCGGAGGGTGCCTCACTCAGGGAAGACCCCTCAGGAATTTTCCCCTCCCAGGTCAGTGCTGGCTCCTTGGCACTTTGTTTGAGCAGAGCAGCAGTGATTGCTCACCCAGGATCAGGAGTTGGGCACTTCAACACCGTAACAAAGTGCTGGGAATTGATGCAGAGTTAAACCTGGCCTGGTTTGGCAGCTGAGCTGTGCTGTGCCCGTCCCATGGCGAGGTTTGGGATGGTGTCACCTGGCAGGGAGTCACAGCCACCCTTCTTCCCAGGATCATTCCTGGCACACCAGCTCCATCCCAGCCAGCATTTTGGGGCGAATTGGGCAGTTTTCATCCCTGTCTGTGAGGATGGAGCAGCTTGGTGCCACAAACCCACCTTGGGGTGGGCACCTGACTGCCCAGGGTGGCCAGGAAGATGGGAACAGGGGAAGAAAAGGGGGATGCAGGAGTGGCTGAATTCCCTGGAAGAGGGGAGCAGGTGAAGAAAAGGGGGAGGCAGGAGTGGCTGAATTCCCTGGAAGAGGGGAACAGGGGAAGAAAAGGGGGATGCAGGAGTGGCTGAATTCCCTGGCAGAATAAGGAGGTGTTGGTGCTGCCCCACAGCTTTGCCAGCCCTCATTAGCACCTCCCAGGCAGGCACAGCTCATTCCAACTGCATCCCAAGCTTCTGCTGGAGATTGCATCTGAGCCTAATATGCATTTTTATATAAACAAGGGTGCTAAATGGCCTT